CCCTCCCCTCCTCTCTATGGTTCCCCTCCCTCCTCTCTATGGTTCCCCTCACTGTCTCCGCCCCCTAACCCCGCGTGCGCCCCATTCGCTCAGCGCGGACCAATCCGCACTCCGCGCGCTTCCCATTGGCCGCGTGGGGACCAATAAGCGGCCGCGTTGAGTTCGGTAACGGGCGGCGGGAGGAGCCTTAAGGAGGACTTAAAGCGGCGGCGGTGCGGGACGCGGTTGCTTAGCGCGATGGTGGTGGGCGGCTCTTCCCAGAAGGAGAACCGCACTCCGGGGCCGAACGACACCGTGAAACGCTTTCCTTACGGCCGAGTCCCGGTGCGGACCCGCTCCCGTTGCGCGGAACATGGAGAACGACCGAACGCTGCCTGCACCGCTCCGTCCTGTGGGCAGCCCCGGTAAGGGGGGGGGAGACACGAATCCGTGAAGGAGCGCCTTGAGTTTTGCTGGGGGGGCTGCAGACAGAGCGCGGACGAGGGCACGGGGTTCCTTCCCCCCCCACCGCCTCCCTCCCCCTCCGCTTCTTCCTCCCCCCCACGGAAAGGGGCCCTCAGTTTTTGGGGCGGGGGTCCTCACTGTGCTGCTCTGCTCCCCGCAGTGACGCAGAGGTGGAGCAGCCCCCTCCCCCAGCGCTGGATGTAGGTGAGTTCCCTCCCCTCCCCCCCCCGCCCCGCTTTGGCACCCCGTGGTTGGGTGCCCCCTCCCCTCCCCCCCCCTCATGATCTTTCTCCCCACAGAGACCACCGTCACCCCCTCACCCGTTGCCACCCCTGTGCTGGGGGCTGCGGGGCGCAGGCCCTGCTTGGCCCGCAGGGTGCCCGCCCGTGCCCCCCCCTCTGCCAAAGGACCCTCCCCTCTGAGTACAGCAGGGACCCAAACAGCACTGCTTGGTCCCCTCCAGGAGGGTGCATCCATGGGGCTGAGGGTCCCCAAGAAGAAGAAGAATGGCACCCCAGGTACATCCTATCCCCCCCCCAACCTGCCCCACTCTGCACTCTGGGGGTGGGGGTTTGTTGGTGCTGAGCCCCCTTCCCCACCCCTTGCAGGCTCCTCCAGTGCTGGCTTGACTCTTTGCGTCTCTGTCACCAAGAACATGGTGTGTATGTGAGGGGCAGGGGGGGAATGCCAGCTCCAACTCCTCTCCCTCACGCCCTCATCCTGCTCTGCTCTCCCCTTTCACTCCGCAGCGTTCTGCCCCCCGCACTCAGAGCTCGCTCCGCACGCCGTGCCTCACCCCTTGCATCTCCCAGCCACGTGCCCTGCAGGTGGGGGGCAGCTTGAGCACTGGGAAGGGCTCCCAACCTGCCCCCCCAGCCCCTGCTGATGGCGTTGTCCCCTCGGAGACCCCCCTGCGCTGGCGACCGGCTGTGACTCCCCAGTCTGACCCCCGTGCATACGCTGCTGTCAGCAACAACAATCTGTCCCCATCCTGGGTGAGTGTGTGCTCTGGGGCACTTTGGTCCCCATGTCACACCCATTCCTCCCTCCCTTCAGCTAGGGGTGGAGGCTTGGAGTGCTAGGAGTGGTCTGACTGTGGGAACTCTCCCCCCAGGACAAGGTGGTGGTGCAGCTCTTCAAGGGGAACGAAGGCCAGCAGGATGCTAAGGTGACGATGACACATCCCAGCAGCACCCCAGGCCCCAGCAAGGCACAGGTAGGGGGGGCTGCGAGGGTCCCTGGGCTCAAGGCTGGATCCTCAGGTTGAGGGGGAACCCTGGAGGTGAGGAGGGGGGTCTCACTCCAAGCCCCACACTCAATCTGTGTCCCACAGCGTGCAGCCCTGCTCCTGCAGCAGCTGCTGCAGATGGTGCAGGACCGACCAGATGCCGTAGCGGTGCTGACGGAGCTGTGGGGGCTCATGACCGAGTTGGGGGTGGACCCCATGCCCCAGGACCCCCTGGATACCCACAGCCTCTCCTCGTAACTGTGACCTACATGGGGGTTGAGCTGCATCTCTGTGAACAAAGGGAGTGGGTGAGGGCACAGACAGACCCTCCTGGTGGTGGCCAAGTGGCTGCTGGGGGGTACAGACGCCCCCCTGCAGCAGGCAGACCCCCCTCCAATGCAGGGCAGTATGGGTATGTATGGGCACAAGGAGTGTGAGAGCTGGGGGGGAGAGGGAGATCGCTGAAGAGAAGTGTGAATAAAATATTGTCTGCTTTGTTTTGCTGTATGGGGTCTCCTTGGTGTCCCTGGGGCAGCCCCCAACCCCGACGTGTCCCCTGGGTTTGGTGGCAGTGCCATACGTTGGCCACGCGGTGACAGCAGTGCCCACAAGGTGGGAATGCTCACATTCATTCAGAGCCCCCACGAAGCCCATAGGAGAGGTGGTGGGGCTGCATCCTGCTGCTGTGTCCCCGTGGGTGTGGGGGGAGGGTGACCGTCCCCATCCCTGGTGGCAGTGTCAGTGCCCCATTTGTTACTGCTGCAGTGACACGAGACATGGGCTCAGCTCTGTCCCTCCCCACACCATCCCCATGATGAGGCTGAGGCAGCAGCTGCACCTCCAAACCCACTATATTTTATTTGGGGTGAACACAGAGTGCAACAAACTGCGGGGTTCAGGGATGGGGGGGGCTCCAGGGGGACAGCACAGCAATGGGAGACCCCAATGCCCATGGGGTGTTGACATGCAGGGGTGGGCAGGGAGCATTTACACTTGTGAGTGGGTATATGGGGGAGGTGTGGTGAGCGCACACGCGTGTGCAACGTGGAGGAGGCGCATGGGGACGGCGGTGAGCATGCACACACGTGTGTGTGATGGGGAGGGGGTGCACGGGGAGGCTGCTGTGCGTGTGCAAAGGAGCTGCGAGGTATCAGTGCCTGCAGGGCAGAGGTGCAGAATGGTTTTCCCTATGGGCATCATCACCTTAGGGAAGGGAGGCAGAGGGGACGACGGTGGTGCCTTGGAGGTGCCCCCCTCCCGCCCCAGTGCTCAGTCAGGGTAGATGATGAAGCCTGAGAAGGTGCTGTACTTGTTGGTGTTACCGCCGTGCACTTTGCCACCATCCAGCTTGACACACACCTCATCACCCACGTCCAGGTGCAGGATGACGCTGTTGCTGGCGTAGTCGTAGTTCTGATCCGCATCCTGAGCGATGGCGCTGGCCCGAACCTTGGGGAGAGGGGGGGCACAGCCATCAAGGACCACCCCCCCACACACAACCACCACCACCGCCCCGATATGTGCTCCCCAGGGGTGGTTTGGGGGTGGGGTGCTGAG